GTGAGTGCCCGGGGGAAACTGGGACGCGGCGGCTCGAGCCCGCCCCGCGGTCCCGCGGCTCCTGGAGTTGGCAGTGGGCCGGCTCCCGCCGCGCGGGACCCCGCTCCGCGTGGGGACAGCAGGGCCGAGCCGAGGGGACGTGTTCGGGCCGCGGGGCAAGGGACAGCATGGGGCGGAGGGGCGAACCATCTCCCGGGACCCCTCGAGGGCCCCACGCCGCCCTTCTTGAGCTCCAGAATGGGCCTCGCCCCCCGCCCAGACCCCCAGATCTCTGTACTGAGCCCCAGCTCCTGGGACCGCCGCCAGGGCCCCCATCTGGAGCTGGTGGCGAGCCCGGCCCCGGCAAGGAGTGCCCCTTCCCACCGCCGGGACCGGCTGGCCCCACCTCCTCCGAGACCAAGTTCAACAAGTTTGGCAGAGAAAGTCTCAGCGCCTCCCTGGCAGGCCCGGCCAGGCCACCGCGCGTGGGCTCCCAGGGCTCCTGGGTGCGCGGCGCCCGCAGCGGGCTGGGGGCTGGCGAGGGGCGCTCGCTCCCAGGTCTGGAGGCCTGGGGCTCGGAGTGCGTCACCTGGGACCGAGCGGGCACCTCGGCCGGCAGGTCGGGTTTCCAAAAGTGCCCCTTTGTTTTGCCCCTCCCCAGCCCTGCCTCCTCCTCTTCCCCGCCACCCCTCCCCCCCGCCTCCAGGGCCTCTGGATGCGGGTGCCAGCCCCACGGGCTAGGTGCCCCCTCTGGACAGAGACCGTCCCCTCCTGTGTCCTCGGATCCTAGGATTGCAGGCTGACCGGGAGGGGCTGCCTGGGGGAGAAGCCCTTGGGCGCAGTGACTCAGACAGCCTGGGCAGGACAGCGTGGCTGTGCTTCCTACCCCTGCGGTGACCCCAGCGTCTGCAGAGGAGTAGGGCCCTCAGTGGGGACAGTGGGTGCTCCCGGAAACTCCCGGGACCTCCTAGCTTGGCCCCTGCAGCTGCTAGGGGAGGATTTCTGTGGGCCCAGTAGGTGTGGGCGCCCTGGGCCGGAAAGGTTTCATTACCTGCTTTCTGAGCTCCTGCCTGCGTAGAGGGTGTTCTGCTGATTTAGGGCCCTGCTGGGGCCAGGAGGCGTAAGGTGCCAACTGACCTTAGCAGTGACCAGGGCGCAGGCCACCCCCACAGTGACACGGAGTGGACTGTGGGGCCTGGTTGTGCTGGGGTTGGGGCTTGTGTTTGCTCTGTGAGCCCGAGGGAGCCGGGCCAGCCCTGCACACACAGCCTGCTCTGTTCTGGGGCCAGAGAGAGGGGGCGGCTGGGGGACAGCCCTCCGCGGGCAGGCAGGGGCCCCCAGCCCTGATGCTTCCCTGGGACAGCTCCAGAGGCCCTGTGATTTATGGCTGCAGTCTCTTTCTCTCCATCTGGCTCGCCTGTCCCTTCTGGACGAGTGGGGCAGGCTTGAGAAGATACGAGGTGGGTCTGGTGTCCTGTGCCCAGGCACCCCTGCTGCCTGCGCCCACAGTCCGGCGAGGCCTGGGAGCTCCCTGTCAGCAGAGACTGGGAGCAGGTTGCTGGTCTTCGGGTGGATGTCATTCCTTGCCTTCTCTTTTTGGGTTCTGAGCCTTGGGCCCCAGCTTTTGTGCCTGCTAAGCATGGCTTGTACCACGGAGCCACGCTCCCAGCTGGTTCTGGAGCTTGGGGAAGCACACATCTGAATGGTAGAAAAGTGCCAATGACTGGGGACAGATGCCATCCTGTCAGTCACAGCCCTGGGGATATGCGCCGAGTGAGGGGTTACAGGGCTGCTGGGAGCCTGGAGGATGGAGGGACGGGGGACGGACTGTTAGGAAGGTGCCCTCATTTGCCTTACCTTTTTTTTTTTGGGGGGGGTGATAGTGGGAATTAAGCCTAAGGCATTGGCACTGAGCTACATCTCCAGCTCGTTTTTACTTTTTATTTTGAGACAGAGTCTCACTAAGTTGCTAAGTTGCCCAGGCTGGGCTTAAACTCGTGATCCTCCTGCCTCGGCCACCCAGAGTGCTGAGATTGTGGGGATTGCCACCATGTTCATTTGACTTATTTATTTGCTTAGAAACAAGGTCTCAATACATAGTTCAGGCTGGCCTGGAACTCACTATGTATATCAGGCAGACCTTGAATCATAGCAGTCCTCCTGCCTCAGCTTCCTGAATGCTGGGATTACAAGTGTGTGCTACCATGCCTGGCTTTCGTCTGACTTCTGAAGGCTAAGTAGAGGTCCACCCATTTGGAGGGAGCTCTGGCTCTGAGCTTGCCCTAGGGGCAGCAGGCAGACACTCTGTCCTCCTGAGCCTGACTGTCCCTTGGGCCTTAGGTTTGCTAGAGAAGGAAGGGATATCCTAGGGACCGTGAGTCAGTCTATGCAGTATGGGGATAGCTGAGACCCAGCCCAGAGATAGGAGGGGAGTGGCTGCATGCCACCGAGTCTAGAGCTAGAGGTGGCGGCTCTGGGCCTGGAGTCCCCCTTGCCCTCTGCCGTGATTCTGGGGAATGCCACCCCCAACATGGTGCCCCAGACTCTGGGCATTTTGAGGGCAGCAATGAGTTGCTCATTATCCACGAGGCCCTGAGGGGCTCCATGGATGCTGTTTGGGACTTGGCAGTCCCTGGCATTGCTGGTTCAGGGCCTGGTTCAGTCTGAACACCAGCCCTGGCATGGAAGCTGACCAGGTGGGCAATTTTCCACCGAAAGCACACTTGTTCAGATTTCCTGGCCAAGACGGGCTCCATGGGCCTCCTGGCTCCCTTCCCAGCACAGGTGGCTTCTGACGCGGCTGTCTGCTAACAGGGTCGACCTGTGTGGTTCAAGGGAAGGCGCCAGGGGCCCTGGCTGGGCAGGAGTCCTCGCCCCTCTTCTGCCCACCACCCACCCCCGCCTGCCATCTAATCCTGCCTGGATCGTGTGACCTGCCTGGCATTCCCCTGCCTGGAATCTGGCGCTTCTGACAGCAGTTGCTAAATTGGGGGAGCCGGGCACCGCCCTGGACACTTGGCCCCTGCCCTCACCCCACTGTGTTCTTGTTAACTTCAGGGCAGTGTCGTGGTGGCCACCTGGAGACTCTGACACTCGGGTCCCTGAAGTGATCTCTGGACCCCAGGTATGGGGCAGGGAAGGGCAGCCTCACAGTGAGTGGGGGAGCCTTGAAGCGGCCGCCGTGGCCCCCCGCCAGGCTTCTCCTGGGCCTGCAGCCCCGTGTCACCCTGAGCTCTGACAGTTCCTTGGGTGGCAGGGGTGGTGCTGGGGGTGGTGCCTGGGCACCAAGTCCAGCTTCTCTGCTTCCTCTGCTTTCCACAGACCCCAGTCCGCCACCATTCCGTGCTGCGGGGACGCGATGGCTGCGGAGGAGGAAGCCGGAGGGGAGGGCCTGGGAGGCAGTTTCTGGGAGGTGAGCGGCTGGGGCTTCGTGGTGGCTCTGAAATGCTGTCCCTTCCTGGGCTCAGCCGCTTGGCCAGGGGAGGAGCCCAGCCCGAGGGGGGCTTTTCCCTGGTGCAGCAGCCCTTGTCACCCGCACCCCCAGGCTGGCAACTACAGGCGGACGGTGCAGCGGGTGGAGGATGGGCACCGGCTCTGCGGGGACCTGGTCAGCTGCTTTCAGGAGCGTGCCCGCATCGAGAAGGCCTACGCCCAGCAGCTGGCCGAGTGGGCCCGCAAGTGGAGGGGCGCAGTGGAGAAGGGTGAGCCGCTGCACAGGCTGATGGGGGGCAGGGGGCTGCCATGCTGGGACCCTCGTTTGGTGCTGGGAATTGAGCCCATGCTAGACAAGCCCTCTGCCTCTGCACTACACTCCACTGCCCTGGCAGGGAACTGGGAGTTCAGAGAGGCTGAGAGACTTGTCTGAGGTCACACAGCTCCAAAGAGCGGGGAGTGGAGCCCAGGCTTTTGATTGAGGGAAAGATCCAGGTGTGTAGTCTGTATGCATCCCGCTGGGGTCTGACTCTCCGCCCCATTAAGTACCTGTAGTGCTTTGGACAAGTAGACCTCGCTTCTCTGGCTGTCCATTTCTTCCCCTGATCCACACTGATCATGATACAGTCCTCACAGTGGTTGAAGCAGGGATTCTGTGAGGTCTCCCAGTTAGGACACAGAGTGGGCATTCGGTGGGCAGCCAGAGACAGTGCTGTATTCTTTGTACTCCGGGAATCCTGGCGGGACCCAATGAAAGGGGCGGCTCACGGGGGACCCCATGCCTCCACAGGCCCCCAGTACGGCACGCTGGAGAAGGCCTGGCACGCCTTCTTCACCGCAGCTGAGCGGCTCAGCGAGCTGCACCTGGAGGTGCGCGAGAAGCTGCACGGGCCCGACAGCGAGCAGGTGCGCGTCTGGCAGCGGGGCGCCTTCCACCGGCCGGTGCTGGGCGGCTTCCGTGAGAGCCGAGCGGCCGAGGACGGCTTCCGCAAGGCCCAGAAGCCCTGGCTCAAGAGGCTGAAGGAGGTGCGACTGGGTGTGTGGGGGGCTGGAGGCGGGCACTCCAGGTGTGTGTGGGGACAGGGGTCAGAGCGTGGCGACCAGGGCCCAGAGCTGTCCCTGCACGTGCCAGGTTGAGGCATCGAAGAAGAGCTACCACGCAGCCCGGAAGGACGAGAAGACAGCACAGACCCGGGAGAGCCACGCCAAGGCGGACAGCGCTGTGTCGCAGGAACAGCTGCGTAAACTGCAGGAGCGGGTGGGGCGCTGCACCAAGGAGGCAGAGAAGGTAAGGCTGGGGGAGGCTTCCACAGGCCCCTTCCCACAAACCCTTCTCTCAGGATGCTCATTTAAAGGAGGAGCCTGGGGCTTGGGGTGTGGCTCGGTGGCAGAGCACTTGGTAGAGGGGCAAGGCCTCCTCCAGGAAGCCTTTTCTGATTTTTCCCACCTTCTGCAAAGGTTGACTCTGTCTCACTCTCCAGCGGGCTCTTAGAGGTGATGAGTTTGAATAGCACCTCCCTTGTTAGACTGCTGAGGTCCCTGAGGCCTGGTCCTGGTTCTCAGGCCTGGTTGCCTCTGGCGGCAGCAGCTTTGCCTGCTAAGTGCTGGTGCAGCGCGCTCACAGCCCTGCCTCTTCCACCTAGACGAAAAGCCAGTACGAGCAGACACTGGCTGAGCTGCACCGATACACCCCACGCTACATGGAGGACATGGAGCAGGCCTTCGAGAGCTGCCAGGCCGCTGAGCGCCAGCGGCTCCTCTTCTTCAAGGACATGCTGCTCACCTTGTACCAGCACCTTGACCTCTCCAGCAATGACAAGTATGGCAGCACGGGCATGGGGTCCCCTCTGTGTCCTGCAGGCCTTGTGATTGGGAGTTCTGGTGGCCCAGGAGTCCCCATCTGAGGGAGGTGCCTCGGGCCCTAGGTTCCATGAACTCCACCGAGACCTGCACCAGGGCATCGAGGCAGCCAGTGACGAGGAGGACCTGCGCTGGTGGCGCAGCACCCATGGGCCAGGCATGGCCATGAACTGGCCACAGTTTGAGGCACGTATTGCGTGCTGGGTGGGTGTGGGCCCTAGGAGGGCACCTTGGGGCGTGGGATGAAGTCGGTGAAGGTGCTATGCACTGTCCCTCAGGAGTGGTCCTTGGACACACAGAGGACAATCAGCCGGAAGGAGAAGGGTGGCCGCGGCCCCGATGAGGTTACTCTGACCAGCATCATGCCCACAAGAGATGGCACCGCACCCCCACCCCAGTGCCCGGGGTCCTCAGGGTGAGGCCAAGAAACAGCTCTGCCCCTTGCCCAGCCCCCTTTCCCCTCTCCCCTATGTTTCTTTCCTTTCCAACCTGAAGTGGGTTGAAATCTGCGCCCTGGACGAGAGGGCTGACTCAGGAGAGGTTTAAAATTGCCAGGCAGTTCCCACTAGTCTCCCAGCTCCTCCTCGCCTTCCCCTGCAGGGGCCCTCCGTGGGGTGAGCCCTTGTCCCTGAGTCCTGGGGCCTGAGCTGCCCGCTCTGTCTCCCCTCTCCAGCGGACAGGATGAGGAGTGGTCTGATGAGGAGAGCCCCCGGAAGGCTGCTGCCGGGGTGCGGGTGCGGGCGCTCTACGACTACGCTGGCCAGGAAGCAGATGAGCTGAGCTTCCGAGCGGGTACCTTGGGGCCCCTTTGCTATTCCTTACCAGGCTGAGTCCCTGTCCTACCTGCCAGGGCAGCGGGGTGTGCGAGAAGCCAGGTGCCTGCCTTCTCAGCCCCAGCTCTGTGGCTGCTTTGGTGCAGCCAGCTGGGGCCCGGTTGCTGCCCTCGGGGAGTGAGGTGGGGCAGCTTGCTGGTGGCCACCTCCCGCTGCCGGAGCCCTGTCCCTTCTTGCTGGCCGGCTGGAAGGCAAGCTCTCATTCTGCCCCGTCCCCCTCAGCCCTTGGCCCGGGAGCGGGGATGGCAGGGCTAAGGGCGCCCGGCAGTGACAAAACCCCTCTCCCCAGGAGAGGAGCTGCTGAAGATGAGTGAGGAGGACGAGCAGGGCTGGTGCCAGGGCCAGTTACAGAGCGGGCGCATCGGCCTGTACCCTGCCAATTACGTGGAGTGTGTGGGTGCCTGAGTGCCCGGCAGCCCTTCTGCAGTCTCTTCACCCCGGTCACGGCCCAGCTGCTCCTGGACTGCCTGGCCAGAGGGCCCTGAACCATCGCACTGCTGCTGCTCCTCCGTCCCTGGATGAGGGAGGAGGTCCTGCGGCCCAGGGAGGGGAGACGTCTGTGCCAACTGAGTCTAGGCCGGGGGCAGGAGGTCGGAGGTGACAGAAGGGCTCAGGGCTGCCCCCGCCTCCCCAGGAGTGCGGTGGGTTTCCCCAGGAGCTGAGGACCGTTCTCTGGCCTCCTGGGGTGGACTTTGGGAAGTGTAGTTCTGGACTAGCCACACCCTCTTTTGTGACTTGTTCTAGTGTGTATTAAGCTTGAAAAAAATAAAAAGAAAGCTCGATCATGGGGTATGTGCGTCTTTTTGATACTGGAGCCCTGCACATGGAGGGAGGCTCTGGAGAGGACGGGGCTGGGCGTGGGTTTGTCATTGTGTTTCTGCCCGGGAACGTCGGGACCCTGAACCCGCAGAAAGGGACTCTTGTGAGCCGGCCAGGGCTCCAGCCTAGGTGTTGGCTTCTGAGCTAAGCAGGAGCCCTGCCAGAGTGTCTTCCTATGCCGGTTGGTGGGACAAGGAGAGCCTGGGAGGATTGTTAATCATTACTTGTTCATCAGTAACCTGCCAGAACTGGGGCCCGTAGCCCACGCCCTCCTCAGGCGGCTCCGCCTTCTCGGCGTCTGGGCATCCCCGCGAGGAGATTTGGGTCTGCTCGCGATCCGTCGCCCGCCCCGGCGGTGGATTGGTCCGACGTGGAGTGGTCTTTACTCTCGCGGCTACGCTAGTGCTCGCGACCGCTGACGTCACGCTCCTTGTGCCGCCCGCCGCTCATTGGTCCAGAACCCATCCAGATCACCCCACCCCTCGGTTGGCTGGATCCGCCCTCCTCGCCAGCCGCGGATTGGCCTGCGACAGCACTCGTCGGTCGCGGTTGTGTCTGGGAAGGAGAGAAAATGGCGGCGGAGCCGAGCAAGACCGAAATCCAGACTCTTTTTAAGAGACTTCGCGCAATTCCAACCAACAAGGTGTCTGGGCGGGAGGGCCGCGAGGTCTGGCGCCGGGAGAGGGAGCCTCCTGCCCCCTAGCGTCTGAGGAAGAGGCAGAGGGCGGAGGCGGGTGGTTTCCTTGGGTGTCAGCGTCCGGCCCCGACCCGCGCGCCTGACTTCGCTTGTCGCCTCCTCCGCTCAGGCCTGTTTCGACTGCGGCGCCAAGAGCCCGAGCTGGGCCAGCATCACGTATGGTGTCTTTCTGTGCATCGACTGCTCCGGGGTGCACCGTTCCCTGGGGGTGCATCTGAGCTTTATCAGGTGGGCTCTTGGCTCGAGCGGGGGCTGCCTGGACTTGGGCCGCTCGGGATTTGGAGTTTGGGGTCCGGTAACCTGCTGCGGGAGGGCGCCGGCCGTAGGGGCATCTTGCCGTGTGAGCGGTCCGTCTCTGCGTCTGGGTCCAAACTCCTTTCCTCACCGGCGAACTGGAGACTCGGGGCTAGGTTAGGGCAGAAGTAGGCAGCGCTGACCTTTCTGCGGACAGACTGGCGAGAATGGCTCAGTGATCGGCCGCAAGGTTAAAACCAAATCCAAGCTTTCATGCCCGAGAACGAGACTCCTTTCAGGCCTGGGGAAATAATTAGCACCCTTTGGGATGAGCGAGGGAAGAGCAAAGCCTTCAAGTCCGGGGCACAGTGAAGGAAATGGGGCAGTGGCCAAATGCCTCCAGCACCCTGAGGCCAGATCGGGTATGGGCCTGCCAGGGAAGCGTGTCTCCTGCTGTCTGCGTGGTGACGCTCAGCCCTTGTACATAGGTCCACAGAGTTGGATTCCAACTGGAGCTGGTTCCAGCTGAGGTGTATGCAAGTCGGCGGGAATGCTAACGCGGTAAAGCACCTTTACGTCCCCCAGCCCCCATTTCTTGGCCCAGGTACCAACGTGGCCATGAGGGAGGCCCTTTCTGTTTCTCTGTTTAGAGAGTCTTTGTTCTTTAACAACACCACCGGGCATGGTGGCGTCTGCCTGTAATCCCAGCACTGGGGAGGCTGAAGCAGGAGGATTGTTGTGAGTTCGAGACCAGCCTAGGCTACAAAGTGAGCTCAAGGCCAGCCTGAGCTGCAGAGCGAGACCCTGTCTCAAAAAGACAAAAAAAAAAAAAACCAAAGAAAAAACAAAACAAAAACACCATGCAGTGTTTTCTTTACTTGGGAGTTGGTCACAGCTGCTCTTAAAGGCCTTCAGATTCGAACTAAATTGGGCAGATGTTCTTGGGAGAAGGCAAGAAAGCTGGGCCCTCCACAGCCTTTCTCAGTCTTGCAGGCCTGGGGGGAGGGACGATGGGTAGAGTGGGTTTGGCATGCTGTCTGAAAGCAGGGTTGAGTGAGCGCTGGGCTTCATTCAGTCGTCTCAGAGGATAGAAGATGGCATGGTTTTTTTTTTTTTTTTTTTTTTTTTGCAAGAATTTCAGAGGAACTTTACCTCCACGAAAAACTACTGGTGTCAGTAACGTGTCATCTTGTATAAATCCTAATGTGATTGTTATCAGGGGATGTCTGCTACAGCAAGTGCATTTTACTCTGCCGAGAATCACCTGTAGCGTGCTCTGCTCCTCTCTGCTGTTCAGACAGCCTTTTTCCGTCAACACGGATGCACAGCCAATGATGCCAACACCAAATATAACAGCCGAGCTGCTCAGATGTACCGGGAGAAGATCCGGCAGCTGGGGAGTGCGGCCCTGGCTAGGCATGGCACCGATGTAAGCGCCTGTTCCCAGGGATGGGGTGGTAGGGTGAAGGAGTCCTCAGAGCCTCGTGTTTCCGGGAGCCTTCTCTCTTCCAGCTTTGGATAGACAACATGAGCAGTGCTCCTGGTCACTCCCCAGAGAAGAAGGACTCTGATTTCTTCAGTGAACACACTCAGGTGAGGGCCCGCAGGCGTTTCCCCTGATTGTTCTGACAAGTGGCTTGCTTAAGCAGGGCCAAGCCCTTCTGTAGATTGCCTCTGCCTTGGTGTGATCACTTGTTCAGAGGGCGTCTGGGGCCCAGCATGTGGTGACTGCTGCCTGCTGGGTAGGCACAGTCCTGTGAGTGGGAGGGTGATAGAGCCCTGGGAAATGGACTCCTCTGAACTGGGGAGAGGTAGAGGATGAGAAGCTTCTCGATGAAGGCTCAGGAGCTCTCAGGTGCCCCAAACAACTTTTCCTAGATTTTGCCCTAAAAACGTTAGCCTAGTTGGGGAAAGAGAAAGGATTCTCCACTGTGACCAACCCCTTTGCTGTCCCTGGCTGCTGAAGTCAGGGTCTTTTTGCTTTCCTGCCTTTCTGCTTGGCGTTGCTGTGATGTGGCCAGGTCGCTTAACCTGGCACAAAACTTTCAAATGTGGAGAGGTGGCCACTGCCTAGGGCTTTTCCTGATAATCACGTTTGTGTAGAAGGCGCTTTTAGACTTGTGCCTGGTGTGTGGTCGGTGCCCAATGATTAGTGGTTTCCAGGGGGGGATGGGCCGTGGCTGCGAGTAAACTGGTACCCGCTCCCTGCAGCTCTGTTTTGCAGTGCACAGCAGCTGTACTTCTACTCCCTAACTTCCAGCCTCTCTCGTTGTGGGCTAGGAGGAGGGCTTCATGCCCTCGGGGCTGCTGTGGGTTCCGGGTGCTCTTTGCTGCAGAAGGGCTTCTGTGATTTGGCCTCCTTTTCAGCCCCCTGCCTGGGATGCAACCACCGCAGAGCCTTCAGGGACCCAGCAGCCAGCCCCGCCTGCAGAGAGCAGTAACCTGGCACGTGAGTTCAGTCCCATTTCCACCCAGTCCCCTGTCCCTGGGAAAGGATTTGGGGCCAGGAAGGGGGCATTTGGCCAGTGGAGTAGGGGTGTGGGGGGACTTTCTAGATCTTTGGTTGGAATTGGATTCATTTCACTTCCTTGGAGGAGGTGGCAGGCATTTACCTTTTGACAGGAAGCTGAGGAGATCTGTTGACTCTCACCTGTCACTTCCCTCCATGGGAGGTCGCCTACCTAACTCCTGTGCTTGCATCCACAGAGCCGGAGCAGGGCCCCAACACTGACCTGCTTGGTTCCTCGCACAAGGCCTCGCTGGGTCAGTATGCCAGCTCTGGGTGGGCTGGCTGGGAGAGGGTGGTCTCAGCATCCTTTACAGGTCTCTGCTGCTTGGTTCCGTGGACCGAGGCCGCAGGAGACAGTGCACCTGACCTTTCTAGGGTGGGGACTGTGGCTGTAATCCGGGCTGCACTGTCAACCTGTGCGCCTGTCCTTCGAACCGACAGGCCTGGGTGGGCCGGTGCTGAGCGTGGTGTGGGCGTCAGCCACAGTGTGGGAGGCTACCATGAGAACAGACTCTGTCCTGTGCCCACAGGGCTTGCCCGTGTGGTCCATTCACAGGGTGGGAGGACAGCTCTGAGCTCCTGATGGCCGGAGGCAACACTGTCCTTTCGGAGCCAGTCTCTGGCCTGTCCTTCAACTCTCTTCTACTTTTTTTCAGTGGCCTTCCAGCGTGGGTAGGGTAAACAGTCCCTTTGCTGACCTCGGTGTGTTGTGTTGACTCTTGGGGGTGGGCAGGCCGCCAGCAGAGTGACTGTCCGGCTGGCCCCAGGCGAGGCTGGCGGAGTTGGCCTGCAGCAGGTCTGTGAGGCTCAGGGCCGGCCCTGTGTTAGCATCAGGTCTGTTTCTCCTCCAGCGTCCATGTATCTGTCAGCTGCAGGGGCCCCTCCCGCCCGAGGTAACCAGCAGCTGCTTGGGGCCTGGGGCTTCGGGAGCAGAGGCTGTTGGGCACCCGTCGCCACCTAACAGTCCTCACTTTGGTCCAGGGACTTGACTCTCTGGTGCTTCAGGTCTGGGCTCCATGTGCAGCGTGCTGGGCGTCAGCAAGCACCCTTAACCTTGGCCTCGTCTGTCTGCGGCTTGGACGCCTTCCCTGCCTGAAGCTGTTCTTTTTAGCCGCTCTTGCCGTGAAGCTGCATGGTGTCGCCAAGCTGCGGCCTCTGACCTTCCCGATCCTAGCTCATGGCTGTTCTCTTTCTCACACAGATCTCAAAAGCTCCATCATCGGCAAGAAGAAGCCGGCAGCAGCCAAGAAGGGGGTAGGTGGTGGGGTACTTCCGCAGGGTGGTTAGCAGCTCGAGCCGGATGGTCTCGTTTGCATTGTCATGCACTGGCTGTACGGCTCTGGCCTAGGTAGTGCAACACGTCTGACTTGTCCGTGGAAGGGACTTGGAGATGCCCATTTTCAGGAGGCTTCCGGGAGGAGGTGGTGAGATGGAGCGAGAGTTCTGGGTAGTAGAGAGCCGGGCACACGGGAGCCTTGTCGGTGTTAGTACTGGCCTCATCCTCCGAGGCCTTGGCTGGGGTGCTTGAGCCACCACGTGCCCCGCTCCAGCAGAACCCCTCTTCTGTCTGGCCGTGCTTACCAGCGCCTGTTTGTGACCCAAATGCCTAAGAAGGGCCTTTCTTGGGGGGTGGCCAGAGCACCTGTACCTGGGAGGGAGCAGAGAAGCCTGGCTGACAGGACCCACAGCGTGTGGTTCCCTTCCCAGCTGGGGGCCAAGAAAGGCCTGGGGGCCCAGAAGGTGAGCAACCAGAGCTTCAACGAGATCGAGCGGCAGGCCCAGGTGGCGGAGAAGCTCCGTGAGCAGCAGGTGGCAGATGCCAAGAAGCAGGCGGAGGAGTCCATGTGCGTGTTGGCCGCAGGGGTGGCGGGGCACTGTGGGTGCCAGGCTCTGACTCCCCCCGTCCTCCAGAGTCGCCTCCATGCGCCTGGCCTACCAGGAGCTCCAGATTGACCGGAAGAAGGAGGAGAAGAAGCTGCAGAACCTGGAAGGGAAGAAGCGGGAGCAGGCCGAGAGGCTGGGCATGGGCCTGGTGTCCCGCAGGTGAGGCTTGGCGGGGCGTGACGGGCAGTGCCATTGGTTTCCTGGAAAGCAGCTGGGCTCTGCCTGGCAGTTCGGGTTCTGTGCTTAGTCTTCCTTGAGGCCGAATCAACCACTGCATTGAGTCCCCAGTGTTAAAGCACCCACTGTAGCACTTAGGGACCCTATGAAGGCAAGTGCTGTGTGCGTCAGGCAGGACCCGGTGTGCGGGACACGTGTGGCTTGCTACTGCGGGTGCTAGTGGAAAGGGGAGGGCAGGACCCTTCTTTCTATTTCAGCGCCTTTCTGAGACCTACAGGTCCTGTAGCATCTCTAGTCTCCGTCTGTCCACTTGGCTTCTCTTAAAAATTAGAGTGTGTAGCTGGGCTTGGGGGTACACACCTGTAATCCCAGCTCTCTGGGAGACTGAAGTAGGATGATTGAAAATTTGAGTCAAAACTAGGCAAGTTAGTCTTAAAACTTAAAACAGAAAAACAAAAAGGCTGGGGACATAGCTCAGTACAAAGGACCTGGGTTCAATCCCTAGTACCAAGAAAAAGAAAAAAAAATTAGAGTGTCTGATAGTACTAAGTGACAGCTGTTCTTTCAGGGAGGTATGAGCTTATTATAATAGGGCTGTATTTACCTGGATGTGCTAGTACTTTTCAGGAGCAATTTGTACAGATGAAAAAATTGAAATGGTAGTTAAATAGCTTGCCTAGAGCCTACAAATCTAGTACCTGGCAGAACTAGGTTTTTTTTTTTTTTTTTTTGGTCTTTTTGAGACAGGGTCTTGCTATGTAGTTCAGGCTGGCCTTGAGCTCACTTTATACCCCAGGCTGGTCTCGAACTCAGAAGATTCTCCTGCCTCAGCCTCCCGAGTGCTGGGATTACAGGCATGCACCACCACGCGCGGCTCAGAACTAGGTTTTTGACAATACTAGGGCTTGAGCCCAGGGTCTCCTGCGTGTTAGGGAAGCCCTCTGCCACTGAGCTGTGTCCTCAGCCGTTTATTTTGAGACAGGGTCTTGCTGAGTTGCCCAGGATGAGCAGATGGAGGATCCAGGATGGCTGACCTTGAACTTGTGGTCTTCCTGCTTCAGCCTCTCTAGTAGCTGGGATTGTAGGTGTGCCACCACACCTGGCTCAGAACTAGATTTTGAACACAAAATTGCTTGATTACAAATTCAGTACTTTTTTTTTTTTAATTTATGTACTTTTGTGGCACTGGGGGTTGAACTCAGGGGCACTCTGCTGCTGAGGTACATCCTCAGCCCTTTTTAGTTGTCTTGAGAAGCTCGTGCCAAACTGCCTAGGCTGGCCTCAAACTTGTGATCCTCCTGCCTCAACTTCCTGAGGGGGTAGGATTATAGGAGTGTAGCACTGTGATTCAGTATTTTTAGCTATTTTATACTTTGGAAGGAGATTTGGCTGTGTCCTATCACTTAATTTTTCAGAGCACATGCTGCTTGTTCAGTTTCTCTTGTCTGTGTGTTACTGGTGTCATCGTAGCTGATTAGCAAACCATATAGTTTGAGTCCTGAAAAGGCTTTGAGGCGATGTTACGTGTATTAAAGCTGCATTCCCTGTTTTGGTCACAGAAGAGTGACCCGGTCGAAGGCCATGAATAACTTCTTTTTTTTTTTTTGGTACGGGGAATCGAACTCAGATGAATAACTTCTTAACTGTTTTCTCTCTCTCTTTTTTTTTGGCAGTATAACAAACTCTCTTACTTAAATACACCCTACCCTATGTAAAGCCATTTGTAAAACATTCCCTCCTGAGGGTTCTTCCAGCCTGAAGCTGGAGATAGTTTCTAAAGGGTTTACTGGACTTCGGTTAGTCCTGTGAGTGTCCCTGTGGGGGATGGCGGAGGAGTGAGGCCCGAGCTGCCTGCCCGTCCGCCCTGCCCTGCCTCAGCTTCCCACGGAGCAATGCCCACCCGGCGCTCCATGCATGGGTCAGACTCTGGGTGCCATCCATCTTTTTCTCCTGCTTGTAAAAGGGGACAGGATAATTAAGAGTCCCTCCTTGATGCCCTGGGCCCGTCTCCTCACCCGGGCATTTCTCATGCTCTCCATCCGTCTTCGGAGGGCCTCGTTTCTAGTACACCCAGGGCGGGGCTGCTCTCCAGGACGCAGCACTCGTGTGGTGCAGCTAGTAGGAAAGTGCTCACGGGCAGCAGCTGCTGACCAGGGACACTCTTCCGGGTGCCCTTCCCAGGTCACCACCAGCGCCTGGCGCCGCACTGGCTTTGTCCTAGATGCCCAAGGTACAGACAGCTTCGCCCCCAGCACCCACTGTGTCCGTGGCAGGGGGGGAAGGGGGATTGGGTCAGCAGCCAGGTGTGTTCTATGCCACAGTGCTGATGCCGCGTGCGTGCCCGTTCCGCTTCCACACAGCTCTGTCTCCCACTCCGTGCTGTCTGAGATGCAAGTGATCGAGCAGGAAACCCCAGTGACTGCGAAATCCTCCCGCTCGCAGCTGGACTTGTTCGATGATGTTGGAACCTTTGCCTCTGGGCCCCCAAAGTAAGGCTGCTGCTGGGTGGAGACTCGGCCAAGCGGGTCTTCGGGCTGCTTTGAGCCTCTCTGCTGTCTCCCTAGGTACAAGGACAACCCGTTTTCCTTGGACTCCTTTGGTTCTCGTTGGGACACAGATGCCACTTGGGGAATGGACAGGGTGGAAGAGAAGGAGCCAGAAGTGACCATCTCAAGCATCCGGCCTATTTCAGAAAGGTACAGGGGGCCGCTGTCTGGGTTGCTCTGGAGCCCTAAACATGTCTGAGCTGGGGAGCTGAATTGCTTAGGTCATTTAATGTAGTTAGAAGAAATGTGACCTCACTGTAGCCCCCGAGGTGTAGGTGCTGTCTCAGTAGGCAGCACAGGGACCCAGCTTTGGTGTGAGCCGTGCTGTATCACAAGGAGCCTGGCGCCTTTGAGGCTTGGGACCTGTTTCTCTGGAGGAAGGGCCCTGATGTCACTCCTCAGCCCTGGCCTCTTCGAAGGCTGTGTGTCTGGGCCCCGCCTAGGCATGGGTCGGAGGTGCAGGCGTTGGAATTCCGGCTCTTCCTTGCTCGTGCTGTGGGAGCGGTCACTGAGCTGCACATGGCCCCTCATGTAATTTTTAAAATCCTTACTCCATGCTGATCTGAGCAGTGATTTGTTGGTAAGTTACCTGCAAATCATTCATTTGCTACATGGGGACGGAAGTAGCTACTTCAGAGTCCCAGGAGGATTAAATGTGACGGTCAGGAAACCCCTAGCCCACTGTGCTCAGAGACCCAGGCAAGCAGACTGAGTCACGTGGTTACTCCAGCGTTGGGCTTATTGTCCCTGGGCCAGGGTAGCCACAGTGACAGCATGGACTGGACCTTGGGATGGTCCAGTGGGTTGGGCCAAAGCCCAGGCTCCCCCAAGGCAGGTTTCCATGCTGTGCCGGCTCTGCGGAGAATGGGGAGCTCCTGAGAGCCTTTGGTGATCGCTTCCCGGGGAAGGGGTCCCTGTGTCTTGGAGCTGCAGGCAGAGCTGTCCTCTCCCCTGCACCCCCTTAGAGCCACGAACCGGAGGGAGGCGGAGAGCCGGAGTGCGGGTGTGGAGCCCAGCGAAGCGCAGCAGAAGTTTGCGGGCGCTAAGGCCATCTCATCAGACATGTTCTTCGGGCGGGAGGTGGACACTGAGGTGAGTGAGCTGGGATGCGACATGGGTTTCCGGGTCCCTTGGCTGGCATGCGGGAGTTGTCCGATCCTTGGCTTTTCCTTCACAGTATGAAGCCAGGTCCCGGCTGCAGCAGCTCTCGGGCAGCAGCGCCATCAGCTCTGCAGACCTCTTTGGGGACACGGATGGAGCTCATGCAGCAGGTGGGGCCGTGGTGGGTAGCGGGTGGTGGCCTCCGGGGGCGCTGCCTGCGTGCTCCAGGTCACTCCCTCACCTTCACAGGAAGCGTGTCTCTGGGGAACGTGCTCCCCACCGCCGACATTGCACAGTTTAAGCAGGGTGTCAAGTCTGTGGCTGGCAAGATGGCCGTGCTGGCCAACGGGGTGATGAACTCACTGCAGGTGCGGACCCCGGGGGAGCGCCGCGTCCTCCCTCTTGGCCCTGTCGTGGGGCGGGGCCCTCCCCTGGGATGCTGTCATGCCTGCATGGTTTACAGTCCTGTTCCTGGTGCCGTGTCCCCGCCCGCTGGGTGTGAGAGGTGGTAGGCCCCCCTTGCTTGGTGCTCCACGCTGTCCTGTGGGCCCCTGCCCCGACCCCTGCCGCCTGGGTGTTGGGGAGGCAGTGCCTGTCGGTTCCACAGTCGCCTGGAAACTGACTTCACCTTTTCTGTCCCCGCCCCAGGATCGCTACGGTTCTTACTGACCCCAGCCCCGGGGCTCAAGCCTGTGGTGGTGTCAGCAGCAGGAGCCCTGTGATTCCCAGGCTGGTGGCACCTGCCTGGTGGGCGCTGGGGAAGACTGGCGACTTCTCTGTGGTGTGCGAGTGGGGGGCCTTGAGGACCCGAGGGCGCCTTTGCTAGCCCCCGCCTCCGCCTGTGGATCGCCCCTCCTCGCTCCCTCCGGCCGCCTCCACGCCATCGCCCTTGGGCCCTGCCCGCAGCTGCTGCTCCCCTGGCTGCGCTGGGAGGAGGGCGGGTGCCCCGGCGCCGCTTCTCCAGTCAGCGTGTCCCTTAGGGAAGCGGACAGCCCAAGGCTTCCGCCAGCTTTCTGGGGTCAGGGGCTCCCTCTGCTCTGTGGTGGGGAGGTGCCCCCTTGGGAGGCCCTGGACTTTCCCTTCTGTCACTGGTGGCCTCTTCTGGGTGCCAGGGAGGACAGGAGGGGGAGGACCTTGGGGCCTAAGGGCTAGAGACTACCTGGCACTTTCCTTTCGGTTTCCTTGGGACGGCCTAGAGGCCTGAGTGATCCTCTCCTGTCCCCACCATCGCCACCGGGGAGGCTGCCTCCTGCTGTCTCAGCCCCATGTCACTGTGGCCACTGTACCCTTGTCTGCACCCGAGACCCTGCCCACCTTCCCTGGTTGGCAATGGCCACCATGGTCTCGCCCACCCTGTCTGGTGCCAGGGAGACGGGAGATGGGGTAGAGCTGGCCCAGCTCAGCTTCCTCCTCTGCATTCTCCTGGGCTGGGGGCTCGGCCAGCAACCCAGCAGCAAGCACTCGGGGCTGCAGCAGGCCCCGCCTCCTGCAGCTGGGCTGCGCACTGTCATCTTGGTGCCATCTTCGCCCTGCGGCAGTCCAGGCCTGGCCCCTACCCGAGGGTGGCAAGTTGGGCCCCAGCAACGCAAGACCACTCGGCCTCCCCCAGAGGGACAGCTGCTTTCAGGACTGTTTGTATTGAAACAAAGCAGTGTAATAAAGCCCCCACGGGGCCTGTGTCAGCAAGGCCTGGCCTCCTGCTGCCTCCCTGCACCCTGGCTCACTCGGGCTGCCACCGACTCGGCTCGGGCGCTCTCTCCGGGGCCTCCAGCTTGTCTCTTCGCTGAGTGCCCGCGGCCCCTGGCTCCTTGGCCCTGTGCTGCCGCGGGGTCCGGTGCAGCCTCGACCTCACCACCCTGTGGCACGCGGAGGAAAGAGCTGGTGTTAGTGGGCCCTCGGCCGGGTGGAGCCGGCGCATGCGGGGTGGACGGTGGGGCAGTGCCCCTCTGTGGAGTGGCAGAAGTTGGGCTCCGGTGTGGGTGGGTTGTGTGTGAGCCCCACTGGGCCTTCCCTATCCTTACAGGGCCCCAGGGAGGGGCAGAGAGGGAGGGCTGGGCCCACGGCCACTTGTCAGCCTGGAGTCACTGGGGCATCCATGGAGTAGCCGGGACCCTGAGCCAGGCTGCTGGGGCCACCTGACGGGACGCAGCCTTGCGGTGGCTCTGATGCGCTCTGGGCCTGGGGAAGCCTCAGGCTTCAGGCTGGAGCCGCTTAGGGACCAAGCCCCAGCTGTGGAACGGGGCAGAGGGACCCAGGAAAATGTGTGCCAGCAGTGGTGACACTAGCTCCAGAGAACACGGGCAGCTTTGCTTGGGCCCAGGGTGTGTTTGCTCTGGAGAAACCCCCACCTCCACCGCCTCAAGGAGCTTGAAGCCCACCTGCCTCAGCTTTCTCCAGTTGTGGGGGTCTAGGCCTCAGGCCTGAGCCTCCCATACCGGGGCTTGGACCCAGGGCTTCTGCACGGGGCTAAGTCGGCCCTTTTTAAACTTCAGGGTCTCCCTAAGTGCTGAGTTGCTCTGGGAGGGCTGGAGGGCTGGAACGTGCCATCTAGCCTCAGCCCCCCAGAATGCTGGGATTCCAGGTGTACCCACCAAGTCTGCACACGCTCCAACTGAGCAGGTGCTCGCAAGGGCCTGGGGAAACCGCGGCAAGGCCAGCAGCGTAGCCCTTTGTGGCCTGGGCCGGGGAAGGTCTGGGCTGTGCGTGGGAGGCGACCCCTCCAGTGCAGGTTCCACACGCGGCCGCCCCGCACCCGAGGCAGCCTGTGCCCCGCCCCGCCCTCCGCTGCAGACTCGCTCACCGCACACATGGGACTTTATTCACTTAGGGTTCCGCGGCGGGGCACACAGGACTTGGGGCGGGTTTGGAAGCTGCACTCTTGCCCACTCCTCCCTCTGCGCTCGCGCCACGGTGGGCGTCCGCCCAGGGCGTGCTCTCGGGTGGCACCCGAGCCCTACTCCTGTGTCCCCCTCCGCGGGGCGAGGTGGTTGGGGCCGGGGGCCAGCTTGGGGCTGCTGCTCGGCCCCTCGCCGGCAGGGGGCAGTATGGGGCGGGCGCCTCAAGTCTCCGACTCGTCCGTCTCCTCCGTGGAGCCGTCGCTCTCCGTGTCCACCTTCCGGGGGTGGTGGAGGGGTCTCCACGGGGACCCCACCCGGGGCGGGGTCCGGGAAGGCGGGCAGCCGGGCTCCGGGGTGGCAGTGACGGCGGGGGCCAGGCCGGGGACTTGGGCGAGCCTAGGAGGGGAGGGAGGGAAGAACCTGCCGGGCAGGAGGAGCCTGGCCCAGACCCGGCCCGGCTCGAGCACGTCCCGGACCCTCCTGGCCGGGGCGGGGCGCCCAGCAGCCGAGCCGCGCCGGCGAGGGTGGCTCCCACGAGGGGGCAGCATCTCCCCACGGGGCACTTACAGCCGCTCTAGCTCCTCGTCCATGGCCGGATCCTGCATCAGGTCCCCTTTGTCAGGCAGAGCTCCTAGGAGGCACCGGGGTGGGGCACGAGTCCTGACTCGAGGACCCCAGCCGGGCAGAGCCGGGGCCCTCACGTGCGCGGCTGCCCACCCCATCAGCACTGGGCAGGGCGCCGTGGGGCCCCTGGGAAGACGTAAGGAGCAAGGAGCCGACGGGCTGTCCGAGCAAACAGGGCACCCCCTCCCAGAGGCGAGGGTGGCTGTGAGCGATCAGTTCTGTGTCCCTCCGTCAGGATGACCCCACTTTGGAGACAGAGGGTAAAAAATGCTGTCCTGGGCCAGGAGAGTGGCTGTCCCCTTGTGAGGTCTCCTTCCCCGGTCTCGGGGGTGCTTTCCTTAGCTCCAGCCCTCCAGGTGCCTCTCGGATCCTGTGTGCGTGCGTGCGTGCGTGCGTGCGTGCGTGCGTGCGTGTGTGTGTGTGTGTGTGTGTGTGTAAGCTGGGTGTGCGGGTGGGAAGGTTATCGCCGCAAGGTGGCGCTCTGTGGCCCGGATCTGGCCAGAGCCCTCGCGCTGGTCCCTGGAGAGGACGGGGTTCAGTTTTGCACTTCTCCAAGTCTCTTCCCGGTGACCTTCCTGCCCCCTTTGGCTCTAGTTAGTGGTTTTCAAACTGTTTCATGGGACCCTCTAATTTTGGGGGGGAGGCGCCTCAGGGACGAAGGGGGACAGAGCCATCCATCCTACAGCAGGCTCCAAGCCGGGTATTTCTGTACCCTGGAGGTTAGGGAAGATCCAGCCCCACTCCGTGCTCAGAGCAGCTTTCGGAGCGGCCTCTGTAAAGTACTTCAAGCAGGCAGGCCGTGGTCCAGCTGCCGCTTAGCTTTTCCTGTCCCTTCCTAGCAGCTGTCATTGGTGGAAAGGTTGGAGGGGGGGAGTGGCCCAGGGATGGAAAGAACAGCTCGCCCCCACTTGGCTTCTTTTTTGTCTTTTTGAGACAAGGTCTTGCTATGCAGTTCAGGCTGGCCTTGAGCTCACTTTGTAGCCTAGGCTGGCCTCGAACTTGCAATGATCCTCCTGCCTCACCCTCCCGAGCGCTGGGATTACAGGCGTGAGCCACCACGCCCAGCCCCCCGCTTGGCTTCTGACTCCTCATCTGCTGCCCACCGACCTCAAAATAAGCAGTGACAAAAAGTGGCAGGCACAACCGGGGCCTTCCCCATTTCTTTTTGCGCTTTTTCAGATTAATCAGATTTTCGCACCTAGCTGAGAAAAGAAGGCCTCTTTCCCACACACACCTTAGCCCTGTTTCTAAGTGGAATTCGCTCTCTGCTGTATCATCACCAGGGCCACATGGAGACATCAGCCACCCAATGTGTTAGGCGCTCCTCAGAGCAGAGCCGGGATTCTGTGTGTGTGTGTGTGTGTGTGTGTGTGTGTGTGTGTTTGGGGGTACTCGGCTTCTCGTAGGGCAGGGCCTTGGGCAGACAGGCTGTCCCTCTGTGGGATGCCAGGGCTGCTTACCCAGGGCCTGGTTGATGCCAGGGTGCTTGGAGAGGGTCCCCAGGAAGCCATAGAAGGTCAGCCTCTGCACGCCGCTCAGGATCTCCTTGACTAGGGCCAGGGGTGGGCAGCTGAGGGGACACAAGCCCGACTCAGAGAGGAGGCCATGTGAGGGCCACGCTGGGCAGGAGACAGTGGCCAGAGCTGTGGCCGAGGGCAGGTGTGAGGGCGGCCCTGGCTGGGACCGGGAGGGGGGATGCTGCTCCTGCTGGTGCTGTCACAGGAGTGGGAGAGGGAGTGGCTACTGGTGACCACGGTCTCCTCTCCGAGGACACCAAGCTGGGCGTTGTGCGCCACATAAGCCAGCTGAGCCCCGCTTTCTGTGGGGCTGCTGGGAAGAACAAATGTTCTTTCTTTCGTAGGAAGTCAGGGCGGTCTGTGTCCCGGAAGCTGGCCGTCTACACTGGGTTGTACCAAGGGAAAGCGACCTAAGTGACTTGGCTGGAAGCCTTTGAGTCCCAGTCTGGTTCAGGAGCAGATGACCCTGTCCTAACTTATATCACGATCACCACAGGCCCTGAAAACCCTGGCCCGTCACAACACCCTCTCCGGAGCCCGGGCTGGGGCCGTGTCCGCGTGCCCTGTCCGCACCTGTACTTGTGCCGGTCACACAGGTTTTCCAGGCACTGGTAGAACAGCGACGCTTCCACTCCCTCGGGGACGCCAGCCTCACCCAAGGCGGGTCGCTGGCGGTGCAGCCCGCTGGACGACGTTGGCACGATCACCGTGTTGGGGTTCTTGCCCAACAGCAGGTCCTGGTAGATGGCAGCCACACTGTCCAGGAATTCTGGGACGGTGGGGGGGGGGGAATTCAGACGGGAAGGACATTGTGTGTCCCCCCTCCCCTCTGACAGCTCAGCCTCACAGTGGCGTCTGCTCAGTGCCTGCTGTCCCTGGAGCAGAGGCCTCAACACCTGCCACCCACCCTCCTATGGCAGCTGAGGCGCCCCCCTGCACGCCATTGTGCGCGCCCGCAGCTCTCTGCGCATGTCCGAGGCGGGCTTTCTGTGCCAGGACAGAAGAGCCCGTATGAAGCGGGGTCCTGCCTTGTTGGCGCCTCCGGAGTGCTATGTTTTGTTGGAAGGAGAACGGTGTGCGAGCTCCTGACCCTCAGCCCCGTCTCCCCAACCAGCAGAGCAGGCACACGCCTGGAGGAGACAGCCGGCTGCAAGCCGCGGGTGTGGTCACTGCTCTCAGATTCCTGCAGTCGGGCCTCCCACCTCCCCGCTGCCGCACGCTGCGCACCTCCTGGGCAGTAGGGGGACCGCTCCTTCCCCAGCGCCCCAGAGCTTCCGAGGCCAGGGAGAGCAGGTGGCGACAGCCGGGCCCCTGCCCTGCCCGGAGAGCCCCGCGCTGCCACCGAGTAAACACAAAGTGGCGCCTCCGGGAGGCGCGGGCTGGTGGGGCCCCGGCTGGCAGGAAGGCCCCCTCGTCTCCAAGGCCGGGCCGTGTTTACTGGAAGAGCCCGTCCGAACGAGTCTGTTTATGGCCACCGTCAGCAGTTTCTAAACCCACATTCCATCGCGTGTCGCCTGCGCGCGCTCCCGCACGCCTATTTTTATTCCACTTGATGGCGGAGGGGACGGAGGGGTGCAGTGGGGGTCTGGGAGTGGAGGGGAGGTGCAAGACAGGGCTGGCGTGCACTTATTAGAGGCCGTGTGAGCGGCTGCTTGTGCCCCGCGCGTGGGCGGGGGTCAAGGGAGCGGCAAGGAACCCCAGCTTTGGAGTCGGCCTCCTGCGCGGCCCAGCCGCGGCCCTCGGGCTGTGCGGCTTCGGCTCCTCCTCTCTCCCGCCCCTTGCACGGACCTCGCTCTTAGCGTTGCGGGAAGGGTTCGGCCGTGCTGAGCCTTGCACAGCGCAGGTCTGTGGTAGGCAGCGAAGGCTACTGGTGTCACTGTCACTGTGACGTAAAGGCGTTAGGCGCTGCGGGTTTCGGTGTCTTCGGGAGCCCAGAAGTAGGCTCTGCAGCCCGAACCTTGTGACCGCGTGCCAACCGGATGCCCTGCGAGTGCCCGCGGCAGTGCGCTCCCCCAAAGGCAGTGGGAAGGGAAGCTCCCTGCCAGACGCACGGATGGACAGGATAGGGGGCGGGAGCTACGTGGGGCCCAGGGCCTGCTCACCTGAGTAGTAAAACTGGATCTGGAAGGCGAAAAGGAAATCTGAGAAAGACATCAAGCAGTCCATGGCGTCGTCCATGAGCACAATCCTGAGGGCGAGGGAGCGGGGGAGAGAGAGGTGTTCCAAGGCCTCCAGCCAGCCCCGGGGCAGCAAGACATTTAGGAGAGGCCCCCCAAAAGTTCCTCCCAGTCACCTCACTTCTGTGACTGGACCCTGCCCCAAATGGAACTGGCCACCCTGTACGGAGGGCGGACTCCAGTCTGGTGGCCCCGGCTGGCGGCCAGGCGTGGGTTGGGGGCAGGGCAAACGGCGGGAGAGGTGCCCTGGTAATGCGGCCAGGGTTTCCCTTCGTTCCGCAGCGGGGACCATTTAGTTCGGCATAAGTGCAGCTGATCAGAAGAGGCAAAGAACAGCCAAGAGGTTTAGAGGGGCCTCGGCAGGTGGCGCTGAGATGTACTGAGCCCCCAAATGGCCAGCACAGTGTGTGGGACTCCGTCCCAGGACACAGCAGCCGGGGGACGGAGAGGGCCGTGGGGACCTGGCCCGAGAGAGGCTCTGGGGACGCCCCCGTCAGGGCCCCTGCTGTCCTTTCGGTCTCCATTCTCTCCCACCTCACAGGAAGTACCCACCGGACTAGCAAAGGGGCGCGACCAAGGCCACGTTTAGACTGCGCAGGCCACGGCGGGCCGGGAAGCGGTGGAAGTCTCCTCCCTGCGCTCCACCCCTGGGCCAGCCACCACCAGCCTCCTCTCCTGGAGGAACTGGCCCCCATCTGGGTCTCATGGGGTCCTTCTGGCCCTGGTGTTCCTTTTCTTTAAACACTTTTATTTTGCCGTCGTGTATTTTTCTAAGTGTCCACTTTCCTGTGTCATAGCTCCCCAAACGGCTGGACGAGCCGTGGACAGCGAAGTCACTGGCCGCCGGGGAGGGGGCTACGCGGAGTGCCTGCCCCACAGGCATGGGCGGTGCTTCGTCTCCAGAGGCAGGAAGTGGCTCCTGCCTGGTCTACCTCGAGATCACCACAAAACGGGTGCCGTTCGGGAGCGCCCTGCTACACGCTGGCACTGTGCGAGGTGTTCGGCCCCGGGTAACACTACCCCACGGCGGGCTACGAAGGTCTGGTGATTACCTCAGCTACAGGGGACGGCCTGCATTTCTGCCAGGCCCCACGGCCTCTCGGACAGGGAGAAGCTTCTGTGGCTAGTTTAATTCTTTTTCTCACCTCTGTTGTAGGGTCTTGGGGAGAAAGCAAGCTGCCTCTACTGCTAGGCCGCATTGTGAAAAATCCAGCATTAGAAAATGCAGACCCGCGAGAAAGATGCAATGCTGCCAAGGGCCACAGGGGGGCGCCCTGGTCCCGCCGCCCGTGGCTCTCTGGACAAAGGACCCTCCACCCTACCCTGCGATCCTCCTAACCTGAGGAGGACCAGGCCGCCCAACGGAAGAGGGAGGAGAGGGCAGCCAGGTGCAAAGACATCCAGACCACAGGCAGGGAGAACCTTTCCTTCCTTCCCCTGGCAGGGCAGCCTGCACCCTGCACCCTGGAGCCCAGAGCGCCAGGGGCTGTGTGTGTGTGTGTGTGTGTGTGTGTGTGTATGATCTCTCATTTATCACCTGCCTGGGGCCCAGGGCCCCTCCTTTCAGCTGTTACCTCCATTTATTATTTGTCTCTTTATTCTTTTATTATATTGTGATGTAACTAAAATACTGTAAAATTCACCTTTTAAAACTGTGTAATTCAGGGCTGGGCATGGTGGCGCACCCCTATAATCCCAGCACTCTGGTGGCTGAGGCAGGAGGATTGTCTCAAGTTCAAGGCCAGCGTGGACTATATAGTGAGACCCTGTCTCAAAAAACAAAAACCGAACTCCCCCCCCAAAAAATAAAAGTGTGATTTAGTGTGTGTTAGGATATTCAAAATGATGCAACTGCCATCTCTTTCTAATTCCAGGAGTTGCCAGTAAGCCCTGGTCATTCGTAGCCCTGTGACAGGGGTGTCCTGCAGCCGCCCTGCCCCACTGAGGTTTTCCTGCCTCAGCTACAGCAGCACCCCTGAAACCCACACTGGGCACAACTATGGTGTCCTCCAGCCTCGAAGCAGGCTTGTAGCTTCCTGCCAGGGGCGGTTCTTCCTTTGAATATTAGCTCCCTCTTTGTTGCTCTTTGATTGTCTTTTTTTGAGACAGGGTCCTGCTGTGTAGTTCAGGCTGGGCTTGAACTCACTGTGTAGCCCTGGCTGGTCTCAAACTTGCAGAGATCCTCCTGCCTCAGCCTCCAGAGTGCTGGGATTACAGGATTGCACCATCACACCCATGGTGCTTGATTTTGGTTTTAGGCACAAATACAATACGCACACAAGCTGCCTGCATGTGTGAGCAGCGCAGCCTGGCACTGGGTTTGGTGAGGCTCGCTGGTGGCCAGAGGGGCTGCTCTTCCCAGGTGCCCTTGCAGCCCTGGGGGAGGCACTGCGAGCCCGAGCCGTCGCAGCACACGGTTAATTGTGGCCCACTGGTAGCACTGCCAGCTCTGTGGACCAGGAGCCCTGAGAAGCTGCTGGGCAGCAAGAGTTCTGTTTCCTGGTCGCTCCCGTAACTGGTGCTGGGCGTCGAGACCTGGCCCGTGAGTCTTTCCCGTACCTGGGTGTCTGCCCGTTCCTCTTAACTGAGTCCCTGTGACCAGCCGGTGCCCTGCCACTCAGGCCCAGCCCCAGCCTTCTGTATCTATTCTGAGACGGTCTCACGAAGTCGCCCAGCTGGTCTCCACCTTGTGATCCTCCTGCTTCAGCCTCCTACGTAGCTGGGGTTACCATTATGCACCACGGGCTTGCCTCAGCTTTCCCATATTGATCAGATTTGGGCCAGATAAGCTCCCCAGGCCTCCTTTTGGGCTTCAGGAGGAGGCTGAGCAGGAGATGCTGCCACCCCACAGACGATGCAAGCCTCCCGCCCTGGGAGAGGGTGATGGAGGAATTTAAGCTCTGCAGGGCAGGGAAGCCCAGTGTACTCTGTTTTTTTTTTTATTTAGTTTTGTTTTGTACCAGGAATCGAACTCAGGACCTTTCGCTTGCCAAGCAGGCACTATGCCACTGAGCTAATCCCTGGCCCTCTGCTTTTTTCCCCTCAGTACTGGGGATTGAAGCCAGGACTTTCATAATGAGCTTCATCCTTACTTTAAAATATTTTATTTTGTCACAGTCTCACTAAGTTGCTGAATTGCCTGGGCCGGGCTTGGATTTGCAATCCTCCTGCCTCAGCCTCCAGGGTGCTGGCATTACAGACACACCCGAGCCGGGCTATGCTCTCTGTCTTTGTCTCTGCTGCTTGCATAACTGACACTTACACAGGTCAGGAGGACCAGTGGGTGGCTGAGGGAGGCAGACGGAGGCAGAGCTATCTTTTGACCCTAGCAGGCTGTGTGAAAAGCTTTGGCGGAGGGCTTTTCCCTCGTGAGCAGTGACACTGGGCGCCACAAAGCCACCTGGGTGGCAGCTTTCCTCACCAGCAGCGCCGACTGCTATTCCGCCCAGCCCGACACCTGGGGCGTCCCAGTCACCCTTCCTGTGCCAGCCCGTCACTCCATCGCCGAGACCCGTCACTCCAGCCCCCGGCTGCCCAGCCCCCGCCTCCTTCCCGGCACTGCCCTCGCCTCGTCTGATCGAGGCGCCACCCTCACCGTGGTCAGGCAGATCTTTCTGAAATACAAGTGCTGACCTTTACCATGCTGCTCAGACCGTGCCTGCGCTTCCCGCTGCCCTCAGCACAGAGGTCCCGTTCTTCCCTGGGGTCGGAGCACCCCAGCCGGCTCCTCTCAGCGCCCGGGTACACTCGCCTGGTCCGGCTCCACTGACCCCAGCCCCTGCCCGGTCCTCCTTCCCTGGGGCCTGCACCTGCCCGCCCCTGCCCCTCCTCTGACCTGCTCTGTCCACGCTCCGTGAGTGAGAAGAGGTGACAAGGGACATGACATCCTTCTCTGGGCAGCATGTGCAGGAGGGACAGACGTGAAGGGGGGGCAGGGCTGCTGCAGACAGATGTTCCTGCGGAAGCCTCGTGCCTCAAACTTCCCGGGGGCGTGGGTTAATGCCACCTTGGGAAGGGGCCGTCTCGAGGGCTGTGGCTGCAGGAGGCTGTGTCAGGTACGGAGAGGGGCCCTACATCCCTGTCCTGCCTGAATCTCAGCACAACTTCGAGCTGGGCAGGGCAGGAGCTTCGGGTCTGCCTGTCCTCCGCGACCCGCCAGCCCCAGGCTGGGGCCTCCGCCCCACAGACAGCGCCTTCATCGTGGCCGCAGCGTGTCCCCACCAGAGGCAGGGATGGAGGCTGGCGGCCCGGCCTTCCTGCCCGAGGCCCCACTGCAGTGCCAGCTGTGCTGACACCTGGAGGGCCTGGCGCCTGCTCTGAAGCAGAGCTGGAGAGCTGCTGCAGCTCGGGCTGAGCGGGCCCCGAAGGCCAGGCCTCAGGTGGGTAGAGGGTCCTGGGACGAGGGGAGGCCTGGGTTCGACCATGTACAGGGCGGGGCCAGGACAGGCAAGGGCCTGAAGACAGCGCTTGGCAGGGCCCAGGCTAAGCCCAAGGGGCCTGGCCGCTCCCCTCCCGTCTCCCCGAGCTGCCAACAGCTGGGTGGCGGCTGGGGACAAGCCTGCGCCATGGGAGCAAAGCTCCTCGCCCCACCCTACCCAGTCACCAGCGGCCACGTCCCTCGGGGGTCGGCGTCCTGGCCAGGGGAAGGAGGCGGGACCCAGCCCCAGTCCCACTGCCCCCGCCACGTCACCCTCTGCCGGGCCTGCTTCCCCATCAGGAGGGAGCAGACCACCCCAGGTCTTTTGCAGGACTTCTGGGCAGTGCTCACGTGCGGCACTCTGCCGGGGTACACGGGCAGCCAGCCTCTGCTGCCGCCCCTTGCGGATTCTGGCTGCTTTCCGAGCTAGAGGAGCCCAAAACTGGGAGTGAAAACCGAGCTCTGCGGCCGCTGGCTCCGAGCCGGGCAGAGAGGCCGCAGGCAGAAGCCAGCTATTCCGTTTCGGGCCCACTTCTGGGGGCCGCCACCCACCTTCCACCCAGGCCCAGGAAGAGGAGGCACCTTGCATGGCTG